AAATCCAAAAGGCCCCAGAAACCGCCTCACAAATCACCACAAAAATCCTAAAAAGACCCTGGAAAAACCCAAAAAAACCCACAAAAAAAAAATCACAAAAGCCACCAGAAAACCCAAGCAAACCCCACCAAAAAAACCCACAAACAACACTGGAAAATGCTCAAAAAAAAGCCTCAGAAAACCCCCAAAACCCACTACAAAAATCACCAATAAAAACCCAAATAACCACTGGAAAAACCTTCAATAAAGTCCCTGAAAAATCCAAAAAACCCCACAATACATTGAAAAAAACCCTAGAAAAACCCCAAAATACCACCAGAAAACTATCAGAAAAAAATGAAAAAATTCCCTAAAGGCCTCAGACATCACCACAAAACCCTCCAAAATATGCTGCAAGAACCCAAAAAAACCCACCAAAAAAAACCTTCAAAAACCCCCAAAAAAGCCTTAAAAAACCCCAAAACCCACTACAAAAACCACCAACCCCCCCCCCCAAATAACCACTAGAAAACCCTGCAAAAAAGCCCCCAAAAATCCAAGAAACACCACAAAACCCCCAAAATACATTGAATCAAAATCCAGAAATGCCCTAAAAAAACCAGAAAACCGCAAGAAATAAAAACCTAGAAAAACCTAAAAAAACCCCAAAAGGCCCCAGAAACCACCTCACAAACCACCCCAAAAACCCAAAAAAAACCACCGTAATACCAGAAAAACCATCAAGTAAACATAAAAAAACCCCCAAAACGATACAGAAAAACTCCAGAAAGACTGAAAAATCCCTCCATGAAAGGCTAAAAAAAAAAAACAAAAACCAAAAACCACCAAAGAAACACCCAAAAAAAACCATTGGAAAAGCCCCCCAAGAAACTCTGGAAAACCCACCAAAAAAACTCCAAAAACTCCACAAAAGCCCCAAAACTCTCAATAAACTCAATTTAAAAACTCAAAATACCCCAATAAAAATCCGTAATAAATCACTTGAAAATCCCCAAAAAAACCCAAAAAGACGCCAGAAAAAAACCAAAAACCACCCTGAAACCCCTAAAAAAACTCCACGAAAACTACCAATAAACCAACAGAAAACCTCCTAAAATCCACCAGAAAAGCCAAAAAGATCTCAACAAAAACCTCTTAAAAAAATCTCTAAAAACCATCCACAACACCAAAAAAACCCACCAAAAAAAAATCCCCAAAACCACCAAAAATCACCCGAACCCACCCCCCCCTTAAAAAGACACCAGAAAAACCCCAAAAACCACCATACAAACTTCCAAAAAACCGCCAAAGACCCCGAAAAGACACTGGAAAACTCCAAAGAAATCTCCAAATACCAATGGAAAAACACCCAAAAAACCTGGGAAAAAACCTAAAAAGCCCCCAAAAATGCAAAAACTGACCAAAAAATATTGCATGGAAAGCACCAAAAAAGACCTCAAAAAAACTTCACAGAAACTTCCAAAAAATTCAAAAAAAACCTCCAAAATACCTTCCAAACCAATAGAAAAACCACCGGAAAAACTCCCAAAACCACCAAAAAAATATGAAGATACCCCAAAAATCCACCAGAAAAGCCCAAAAAAATCTCCACCAAAACCCATCAACAAAACCACATAAACCCATGAAAAAAAGCCCAAAAAACCCCACAAAAACTCTCCAAAAGCACAACAGAAAAACCCCAAAGAAACCCCAATGTACTATTGGAAAAACCTTTAAAAACTCCTAAAAAACAACTCAAAAATCACAAAAAAAATTCCAGTAAACCCACCAATAACGCTTCAAAAATCATGACAAAACCACTAAAAAATGGCTGAAAACCATCTAAAACACCCCAAAAAACTGCCAAAAACCACCAAAAAATCCCCAAAAAACCCTACTAAACTACTATTGAAAAATACTGGAAAACCCCCACATAAGACAGGAAAACCCTAAAAGAAAAACCAAAAAACTACTACATAAAACCTCAAAAAAAGCCCCATAAGACCCCAAAGAGGCACCAGAAAAACCCCAAAGAAACCCACAAATACCACAGGAAAAACCCCAAAAATCACCCAAAAAACTTGGAAAAAATCTCAAAAATCACCTAAATAATTCCAGGAAACCCAAGAAAATCTCAATGAAAAGCCCCCAAAAATGGCAAAAACCCATCCAAAACCCACCAAAAAACTGGCAAAAACCACCAAAAATGCCTACTAAATCATTATGAAAAAACACTTTAAAAACCCCAAATAAGACAGGAAAAACTCCCCAAAAAACCCCAAAACAACCACTAAAACCACCCAAACACCATTAAAAACACCCCAAACAAATCTCCACATAAACCCCAAAAAAACCACAAAGAAGCATCCAAAACACCCCCAAAATTGGCAAAAACCTCGCTAAAAAGCCCTACAAAACTACCAAAAAACCACCGCAAAACCCCCAAATTAGACTAGAACCCCCTCCACCAAGAAAAACCGAAAAAGACACAAAAAACCCCCTAGAAACACCCCAAAAACCTCAAAAATACCTGCGAAAGACTCCAGATTAGCACCAGAAAAACCCTAAAGAAACCCCAAATACCACTGGAAAAACCCCAAAAAACACTCAAAAAGACACTAGAAAACCCTCAAAAACCCCCCAAAAACCTGAAAAAGAAGGGAAAAATTACCAAAAAAGATCCCAAAAAAACCAACAATAACACCCCAAAAATTCTCCCTGAAATCCCCAAAAAATTGTGAAAAACCATCCAAAAGAACCCAAAACCCGTCTAAAAAATGACCAAAAAACCCTACTAACCCTCTATTAAGAAACACTGGGAAAAGCCATAATAAGACTGGAAAAACACCAAAAACAACCCTAAAACCACCATAAAAATACCAAAAAACACTGAAAACACAATACAAATAAAACCGAGAAAACCATCAGGAAACCCCGAAAAATCTCCACAAATTCTTCACAAAATCACCAAAAGAAACCTCTTTACACAACCTCACCAAAATCCCTGTCACTGATCCCGGAATTTTTCCCCCAGACGTCGGATTCCTCTCCTTCTTCTTCCGGCACCTGGAGCGGAACCACAGCGGGCGCTACCAGGAGCACTTCCCGTTCCTGTCGCGCTGCGGCCGCGAGCGGAATTTCCTTCGCTGTTCTGACCTTCCTGTGGTTTTCACCCAAATTCTGCCCGGCCCCGGTGGCAATTCCCTGCTGTCCTACTGCGGGGGCAGCTCCGAGCTGGTGGTGCCCTTCCAGCCGGGAATGTTGGCCGTGTGCCCGCGCAACGGGCGCCTCTACCACCCAGCGCCGGAGAGGGTCGGCGGCGTTGGGTTGGTGCGTTGGGCCCTGGCCCAAGAGTTGAGCTCAGGGTTTCGCTTCCAGGACGGGCCCCAGCAGCCCCCAACGCATTTGCTTTGGCAAGGGAAGGAGCATCGGCTCTCTGGGGAAATCCTGGGAATGCTGCGGGCAGAGAAATCGGGATCGGAGGTGGGAGCTGCAATTTCTGCCTCGTGAATAGCTGAAAATCGGAATAAACTTGGTCCTGCAGTCATTAAATTCACTGGTTAATTAATTATAGACTCTATTTTTGATTTCAATAATTAATTTCAGCAAGCATTTCCTTTCCCAATTCTGCTTTTCTGTCATCTCTAAAATTCTCAGAAAACCACAAAAAAATTCCGTGAAAACTGCCAGAAAACTCCCAAAAAACATCGGAAAAAGACTCAAAAAGACACTGGAAAAACCCTAAAAACTACCACAAAAGTAATCTAAAAAACCCAAAAAAACCTCCCAAAAACCCACTGGAAAACTCAAAAAAACCCTCCTAAAATAACCCTAAAAAGACTCTGAAAAATTACCAAAAACCACCACCAAAACCCTAAAAAAAGCCACCAAAAAGCCCACTAGACAACCCCAAATAAAAGTCCATTAAAAACTCAAAAAAACCCCAAATAACCACAGGAAGACACCAGGAAAACCCAAAAAATCCCAAAAGACCACCAAAAAACCTACCAAACAACCCCAAAAAACACTGGAGAA